AGTACCCTGGCATGAGGGGAGGGAATGATGATTATGCTATTGATCTTGATGGAGAAGTCAGGGGGGGGGGGGCACGGGCTGGAGGGAATAATATGAGCTCAGTTTTGGAAAGATTGAGTTTGAGGAAGTGGAGAGACATCCATGCCGATATGTCACCTAGCCACCTGACATATAGGTTAGTAATGCGAGAGGAGACTGAAGGGGTGAGGTGAGGGGTAATGTCAGGAAAGCCTTGCCCTTAGTACAGGTAAATCTCCACAGCGCACAAATATGCACAGGCACAGGGTTCTGGCAAGCCGAGCAGATGTGCGGGCGCCTGGGCAGAGGCGCTCGCAGTTGCGCTCGCGCATGCGCACTCGCGGGCCTGTCATTAATGCTGGCGCTAAGAAGGCTATTTAAACTGTCTGATATGGTTACCTCATTGCCGTATGGTCTTTTCCCCCTGCTGGTGTTTCCTGATTTCCGTGATTGATTCCTTTTGCCAAACCAGCCTGTTCCTGACTTCTGCTTGATTGCCTCCTGCCCTGACTTCTGGCCTGTCCTCGGATTATTCTTCTGCCTGCTCCTATCTGATTGATCTCCTGTTACTGAACCTGGCCTATGACCCGACCTTTCTCCTGCCTGCCATTTAAGCCTGATCTGTCTCACCAATATCGAACCCGGCTCGTCTGACCCTGCATCCTCAGCACATGGTGTTCCGGCATCCATTAATCCTGCACAGATACATCTGCACCCTGCTCTGACCTGCAACTCATCAGCCCACCAGCTGTTACTGGACAGATCTCAGGCACTCATACCCCACCGTGCTCCTGCGACCGCTGTCCCACTCTCAGCAGTCCCTGAGCCGGAGTTGTACGGGAGGTCTGCCTCTTCATGTCAGGCTCACTATCCAGGTACGTGACAGGTAGAAAGATAGATTTGTGTGTCATCAGCATAGAGATGGTACTTAAAGCCAAGGGAGTTTATCAAGTGACCAAGGGAGGAGGTGTAGACGGAGAAGAGAAGGGGTCCAAGGACAGAACCTTGAAGGACCCCTACAGAAAGAGGGAGTGAAGAGGAGGAGGCAGCATTATAGGTAACGCTCAAGGAGCGCTGCGATAGGTAGGAGGAGAACCAGGAGAGAGCAGAGTCTCTGAGGCCAAGAGAGTGGAGTTTTTTGAGGAGGAGGGGATGGTCAACCGTATCAAAAGCCGCAGAGAGGTCAAGTAGTAAGAGTATGGAGTAGTGGCCATTGGTTTTAGCTGTTAGTAGATCATTAGTGAGTTTTAGTAGGGCAGTTTCAGTGGAGTGTAGTGAGCGAAAGCCAGACTATAAAGGGTCAAGAAGGTTGTTGTCGGTGAGGTGGGAGCTCAGGCGATTGTAGACTAAGCATTCTAGGAGTTTCGAGGTAAATGGCAGTAGAGAGATGGGTCTTAAGTTGTTCAGGTTGGTGGGATCCAGGGAGGGCTTTTTAAGTATGGGAGTGATGTGTGCATGCTTTAGAGGGGAGGGGAAGGCCCCGTTAGAGAGGGAGAGATTGAAGATGTGAGTGAGGGAGCATAGGATGGAAGAAGAGGGTGACCGTAGTAGTTGTCACGGGACAGGATCAAGGGGGCAGGTGGTGAGACGGGCTTCTGCGAAAACCTTAGTGACCTCTTCGGTAGTCAAAAGAGGAAAGTGTTGAGGGAGGTTTAGTATAAGGTATGCTAAGTGGGATAGATGTCTGTGCAGTGGCGATGCCCCTACGAATTGCATCAATCTTGTTTCTGAAATCATTTGCAATCTCGTGAGCAGTGAGTGAGGTACTGGGTGGGGGTGGAGGTGGAGAAAGTAGAGAGTTAAAAGTAGAGAAGAGACGACGAGTACTGGATGACAAGGTATTAATAAGAGTGACAAAGTAGGCTTGTTTGGCAGCATGAAGGGAGGACTTGTATGTTAAGAGAGCAGATTTATATCGGGTGAATGCTTGTTGAGATTTGGTTTTACGCCACAATTGCTCCAGCGCACGACTATGTCATTTAAGATTTCTGGTGTCGTCAGTTTGCCAACGTTGTAACGGTCGGGGCCTGATGTTTCATGTTGTTAGAGGAGCAAGTGAGTCTAATGCGGATGAAAGCGAACTGTTGTAGACAGCAGTGGCCTGGTCAGTGCAGGCAGGGGAGAGATTCTGTCATAGAGTTGGTCAGTTGCAGAGTGGAAAGGAGCAGGGTTCAAATTGTGAAGGTTTCTGCGCGTAATTGTTTGCTGCTTGGAGGGATAGGTGTTTGAAGACAAGGAGACTGTGAAGGTGATCAGATTCTGATCAGAGAGAGGAAAGGGGGTGTTTATGAGGTTGTAGGGAGTACAAAGATAGGAGAAAACAAGGTCTAATGTATTCCCATCAGAGTGAGTGGAGGACTGTATATATTGTGCTAATGCAAAAGATGAGGTTAGGTTGAAGAGTTGGGATGTAGTCGGGTTGTTGACATTCATAAGGATGTTAAAATCTCCAAGAATGATAGTGGGTAGTTCAGAGGAGAGAACGTAGGGTAGCCAGGTGGAGAAATCATCAAGAAAGTGGGACACCAGTCCAGGAGGCCAATAGATCACTGCAATCCTCAGAGAAATTGGAGAAAACAGCCGGATGCAGTGAGTCTCGAAAGAAGAGAAGGATAGAGAGGGAGGGTTAGGGAGGACTTGAAAGGTGCTCAGTGGGGATAGAAGCAAACCAACTCCACCACCTTTCCGACCACTGGGTCTGGGTGAGTGGGTCCAGAGAAGGCCTCCATATCAAAGTACTGCGGGAGAAGCAGAATTTGCTGCTTGAAACTAGGTGGAGTTTGGCTTTAATATGTTACTCACTCAGAGACCGCATCTTTCAAGCAATTGCTTAAATTTTTAAAAATAAGCAGAAAATCCACTCCAGTTTGTTTTAGCACTGTATGTGACATAGCCTGAACTTCAACATTTTTAATATTGCATTTAATTTGAGAAACAAGAGTACCCCTTGAACCTGCCAGATGTACCCTGGGGTTACATATACCACATATTGAGAACTGCTGTTCAAGACAAGGTTAATGTACCAAAAACTAAATGGGTAACAAAAAAAACCACCATTGAAGAAAAGGTGTGTAATGGCCTGTTCCCACCAATGTATTAGTAAATGTACAGAGGGTTTTAAATGGTGGGAACGGGCCTTCACCTATTTGCCAATAGGATTCCACTTTATGGAAGGCAAAGCTGTGCAAGATGGGTTCTGATTGGTTTCCATGGGCTCTACACTTGGAATCTAGTGCTTCATTCCCTGAAAATAAGCTACAGTAGGTAAGCATCAGAATGTTCCAACATGATCAATACACCGCAGATTCCCAAACATGTGAAGACAACCTTGAATCTACTGTATAGCTCCTGATTGTCCCTGATGTGGAACAAAGTCCTTCTGTCCGTCTTTCATTCCCATTTGTCCCTCATTTACTAAGGTGTGCAAGTGAAGATCCTTATTTTCCTATGAATGCATGGTGGCATCATCTACCAATTCATTACAGCCAGGGCTACAACCAAGGGGCCCCCCCATACAGCCAACCTGAGTGGGCCGCCCCCCCCCCCCCCCCAAAAAAAAAAGTTCACTATGCCTTAGTTATGAATGAACACGATGAGTGATCGATACCAATTACTCATTGTGTTCATTCAGGAAAGAAAGGGGCTGGTGAATGTGTCATATTCACCAGACTCTTCTCCCACTCTACATCCTGCACGATCCAATTGTGTGCTTGCAGCTGCTGGTGGGAAGGAGAAGAGAGAAGCCGGCAGCACTGCAGAGGTGGGGGCACACAGGGGGGCCTAGGCAGCTGGGAAAAACGTATGGTGCGCAAGGAGAGTGATGGGTGCGGGGGGAGGAGCAATTACTGGAACTGATCCCCTGTATGGCTGTCTTTGAGTTGCTGCAGAGAGAGCCATATAGGGGATTGGTTTCAGTAATTACCCCCCCCCCTCCACTGAGCTGATCACCATCTCTGCCCACAATTTATCCATCTGCATGGGCCCCCCCCTGCTGGACTGGGCCCCATATAGGAGGACTGGTGGTACCCCTTTATCCACGGCCCTGTGTACAGCACCCTATATGAACTGTGGGGAAGCCTGTAAGGGGTGTGGTGGAGACCGTACAACTGACCTGCTAGTGTAAAGCAGGTCATAGATTTGTCAAAAAACAAACGTTCTGTCAATGAAAAAGTGAAAACCCAGCATGTTGGATCGGGCACTTTCCATTGTGGGCAAAAAACAGACAAGGGCGCACTCTCATCGTGCACTACCGTGGTACACCATATATACTCACAAACCAAAGGAGAATAAAAGCAGAATAAATAGTCCGCAATGGCAGTCAATGCAATGCTGTGCCCTAATTAGGGATAAGCTGATGCGTTTCGGGAGACGAACCCCCGTCCTCACAGCTGAAGTGTGTGCCTTTCCATTGTGGCACGAAAATCGCATGTCGCAGCTGGAACACGAATGATTCAAAAAACGAATGATTTGATGATTGACCTGCATTTCATTCATTTTTCAACTTCATTAAAGTGATTCTAAAGGTTGTAATTTAAAAAATAAATACTTACCTGCTCTGTGTAATGGTTTTGCACAGAGCAGTCCCAATTCTCTTTTTTGGGTCCTGGCTCCAGAGAGAGAGACCCGGGGGATCCGCGGCTCTCATGCTCATTGCTGGGATCGAAATGGGGCTCATGTAATTAATGGGGGTCTGAGGGGGGAAGGTTTTGTATTAATTAATACAAGGAATACATTAAGGTGAAAAAACCTTCTGCCTTTGAAACTACTTTAACCACCTCCCGCCCGCCATATAGTCCAATGCCGGGTGCAAGGTGGTTCTCTCGTTCTGGGAGGACATCATATGACGTCCTCCCATTCTCACCGCGCAGGCGCGGCTCAGGGAGCGCGCAGCGCGGCGATCGGCGGTGCGCTGTGTCCCTCGGACACAACGGATCACCGATCTATGGAAAGGGCCAAAGATGTCGGCTCGGTCATATGATCAGCTGTGTCCAATCACAGCTGATCACATGTAAACAGGTAAATGTCGGTTATCGGCATTTCTCTCCTCACGAGCTGTCACGCTGAAAGAGGAGAGGAGAGCCGGTAATCGGCTTTCCGTGGAGGGGACATCTACACTGCTCATCAGGGCACTGATGATCAGTGTGCCCTGATGATCTGTGTAGCCCCAGAAGTGCCACCTGTCAGTGTCCATCAGTGCCAGCTGCCAGTGCTAAACAGTGCCACATATCAGTGCCTACCAGTGCACATCAATGCCACGTATCAGTGCCCATCTGAGCTGCCTTTCAGTGTCACCCATCAGTGCCAGTGTCACTTATCAATGCCAATCAGTGCCACCTATCAATGCCAATCAGTGCCACCTATCAGTGTGCATCAGTGCCACCTATCAGTGTGCATCAGTGCCGCCTATCAGTGCCAGTCAGTACCACCTAACAGTGCCAGTCAGTGCAACCTAACAGTGCCAGTCAGTGCTGCCTATCAGTGCCAGTCAGTGCCGCCTATCTGTGCCATATATCAGTGCTGCCTTTCAGTGCTCATCAGTGATGCCTGTCAATGCCCATCAGTGCCACCAACCAGTGCTTCCTCATCAGTGCCCATCAGTGCCACCTATCAGTGTCCATCAGTGCAGCCTATCAGTGCCCATCACTGCAGCCTCATTAGCGCACATCAGTGAAGGAGAAAAATCACTTATTTACAAAATTTTACAACAAAAAACTAAGAAAAAACATTTTTTTTTTTCAAAATTTTCAGCGGTTTTTGGCTTAAGAAAAAATAAAAACCCCAAGGTGATTAAATACAACCAAAAGAAAGCTCTATCTGTCCCAAAAAAATTATAAAAATTTCATATGGGTACAGTGTCGCATGACTGCGCAATTGTCATTCAAAGTGTGACAGCGCTGAGAGCTGGAAATTGTCCTGGGCAGGATGGGGTATAAGTGCCCTGTAGGCAAGGGGTTAATCTGGTAGAATTTTGCTGGAAATTCATTCGATTTTCTAATCATTAGTGGGGTCAAATCAACATTTGTTTTCGACCGGATGGACTGGTTGGAAAAGTAGAAGATTCAAGTATTAGCTGAGGGCAGGATAGGCTTCCCTGAAGAGATAGGTTTTCAGAGATTGCCTAAAAGTGAGCAGAGTAGGCAATAGTCTGATAAATTGGGGGTAGAGAGTTCCAGAGGATGGGGGAAGCTCTGGAGAAGTCATGGAGACGAGCATGGGAGGAGGAGACAAGGGAACTAGAGAGTAGGGGGTCTTGCGAGGAGCGGAGAGTACGGTTTGGGTGATATTTGCAGACGAGATCGGTGATGTAATTTGGGGCAGAGTTATAAATGGCTTTATATGTTATTGTTAGTGTTTTGGATTTTATCCATTGGGCAACAGATCTGTGACCCCGGAGGCGACATTTGTGATATCACTTCCGGGTCACCCCTGTCACTTTCTCGGCTAGCACAACCGAGAAGCAATGTATTGCAAAGCAGTCTGCATTGCAATACATTGAGTGGAGCCCAGAGAAGACATTAGGGGTCTTTTATAACCTGCATGTCTCAATAAAGAGAACCTGTCATCAAAAAATTATCACGTGATGTGATGGAAAAAAAGAAGTTAAGGTGGAGTTCCAGACGTTTTTATGTTTATTAAAAGTCAGCAGCTACAAAAACTGACTTTTAACCAGCTCCCTACCGTGCTATAGCTGAAGGATGGCTACAGCGCGGTTGTCTGGTTCTGGGACGACGCCCCATGGATGTCATTCCACAACACGCCCCCTGCGCGCCCCCAGTGGGTCACTGGCAATCATTGTGTCCTACGGACACAGCTGATCACGTGATACGGTAGACAGCCAATCACGGCGGCCTTTTACCACGTGATCAGCTGTGTCCAATGACACAGCAGAGCACGGAGTAAATACAGTTGCCGGTTATTGGCTGCACTTTCCTCACGATGTCACAGCATGAGGAAAGTACTGCCGATAACCGGCAATTGTCAGAGAAGTGATTGGCACTGATCATCAGGGCTGCCCACCTGTGCCACCCACTTGTGCCCATCAGTGTCGCCCAGCAGTGCCACCCATCAGTGCTGTCCAGCAGTGCCAACCATCAGTGCTCAGCAGTGTCACCCATCAGTGCTGTCCAGCAGTGCCACCCATCAGTGCTCAGCAGTGTCACCCATCAGTGCTGTCCAGCAGTGCCACCCATCGGTGCTGTCCAGCAGTGCCACCCATCGGTGCTGTCCATCAGTGTCACCCATCGGTGCTGTCCAGCAGTGCCACCGATCGGTGCTGTCCAGCAGTGTCACCCATCGGTGCTGTCCAGCAGTGCCACCGATCACTGCTGTCCAGCAGTGCCTCCCATTAGTGCTGTCCAGCAGTGCTGCCCAGCAGTGTCACCCATCAGTGCTGTCCAGCAGTGTCACCCATCAGTGCCGTCCAGCAGTGTCACCCATCAGTGCCGTCTAGCAGTGCCACCCATCAGTGCTGCCCATCAGTGCTGCCCAGCAGTGCCGCCTATCAGTGCAGCATCAGCAGTGCCAGCTCATCAGTGTCACCTATCAGTGCTTCCTATCGGTGCCGCCTATCCATGCCACCTCATCAGTGCCTATCAGTGCTGCCTATCAGTGCCTCCTCATCAATGCACATCAGTGAAGGAGAAAAATTACCTGTTTGCAAAATTTTATAATAGAAACAAAGAGACTTTTTTTTTTCTCCTTTTTTGTTTATAGCACAAATTATAAAACACACAGCTGTGATTAAATACCAACAAAAGAAAGCTCTATTTGTGTGAAAAAAAAAATTCATATGGGTACAGTGTTGCATGACCGCGCAACTGTCAAAGTGCGACAGCGCTGAAAGCTGAAAATTGGCCTGGACAGGAAGGGGGTAGAAGTGCCCGGTAGGCAAGTGGTTAATAAACACACACTTACCTTTCCCAGGGTCCAGCGATGTGCTTCCCCGCGCCATCCCTTCTCTCCCCGGCATCTTCAGTGTGGGCACCCGGCTGTGATAGCTTGCAGCTTCACAGCCGGGTGCCCACTGCGCATGCGCGAGTCGCGCTGCACCTCCTGATTGGTCCGGCAGTCTTCTGGGACCTCTGAAAGTTCCCAGGAAACTGTGGGAGGGAGGAGGGAGCTGAACTTCTGTCTCACTTCGGTGCGGTTAACTGAGACAGAGAAATGGGAGTGGGTACCTGTCAAAATCAGGTGTCTGCTACCCTCCCCCAATAGGTGCCACATATGGCAGTGGAAGGGGGGAGGAGGCAAATAAGTGAAGTGCAACTCCACTTTAAGTGAAATTTTTTTTATTGCAAAAAATACACTTACACTCAGGCACATAACATTCCACCCCCCCAAAAAAAAAAAAATTTGGAGCCCCACCCCCACCCCACATATATGATCATAAACACACTTGTCAGGGCTCCTACGCATGGAAATGTCGATTGCGATATACATGTCACATATCGCCGCGCACGCTGGAGAGCAATAATCCTCGCACGTAGCGCTAAGCTGATGACCTATAAGGGGCTTTTGAAGTGTCACCTATAGAAAATATAGGGTACTGTTGCCATTTCACGGGCGCACACAAATGTGAGGTTTGGCATGTTGGGTATCTATTTACTCGCCACAACCTCGTCTTTTATACTTTACCAAAAATGTGGGTAATTTATTGTTTTTTTTGCCCCAAAATTCAGTTTTGTAACTGATATTTTGCATTTCCTAGCCTTTTGCGGTAATATAAAAAAATTGGAACTACCGCTATTTTATTCTCTAGGGTATCTAAGGTTTTGGGGGCTTTGTGTAATCTTTGGGCCTAAAATGATTTTTTAAATGTGTGCAAAAAAAAAATAATTTTGCATTGGAGTCAATGGGATGCGATTTTTCATTGAAGACAATAGGGGGCGTTTTAGCCTAGAAGTCAATGGGAGGCGATTTTGCATTGAAGACAATGGGACATGATTTTGTATTGGAGTCAATAGGACGCGATTTTGCAAGGATATCAATGGGATGCGATCTTGCATTGCATTCAATGGGACATGATTTTGTATTGAAGTCAATAGGACGCGATGTTGCATTGGAGTCAATAGGACGCGATTTTGCATTGGAGTCAATAGGAGGCGATTTTGCATTGAAGTCAATAGGATGCGATTTTGCATTGGAGTCAATCGGATGCGATCTTGCATTGCATTCAATGGGACATGATTTTGGTATTGAAGTCAATAGGACGCGATTTTGCATTGGAGTCAATAGGACGCAATTTTGCATTGGAGTCAATAGGACGCAAATTTGCATTGAAGTCAATAGCACGCAATTTTGCATTGGAGTCAATAGGACGCGATTTTGCATTGGAGTCAATAGGATGCGATTTTGCATTGGAGTCAATAGGACGCGATTTTGCATTGGAGTCAATAGGACGCGATTTTGCATTGGAGTCAATGGGATGCGATTTTGCATTGGAGTCAATGGGATGCGATCTTGCATTGAAGTCAAATATGATTTGTTTTCCTTTTGTTTTCCTATCGGCAAAACACTGATAACCCTCTTTTTGGCTGAGTTTCGATGGCCTCCTGGCTTTCCACATCACATATTCTAGGAGGCTCAGGAGTAGGAACTCACAGCTTCCAATGACAGAGGACCAAGATGGCAGCGTAGGACCCGGATTGCAGCCCCTGATCAGTGGACCGCAGCAGGGAAACACTGGGTTCACTGGGCAGCTGAGTATCTGAATTCAGAACAACACTGCATGAAACACTGCGGGTGGGGCGAGCGAGCAGCCGGCAGGAGGCGGCCAAACCCCTCTAGACACCCTCGCGTTCTCCTATATTGGAGGAAGTTTGAGCCTCTCCGCCTTCCGTCTGTGCCAAGCGCTGATTCGCCGGCTGCTGTCACGTGACGCTCTGCTGATGGTGTGGAAAGATGGCGGCGCCCTTGTGAACATGCTGAAATGAGAAGTTGATCAGTGATCGGTGGATGTGAGTGGCAGCGGCGTGTAGGTCGGGTGTGGGGAGCGGTATGTGAGTTGTCGGAGGTGCACTGCTCAGCTTTCCTTCCATAGTAGCAGTAGCAGTCTGGGGAGGGTGATGGAGGAAGGAAGGGGCTGTGTACGGTTGGGATTAGGAGGATAGGCGTGTGAAGGGGATGAAGTGCATGAAGATGTGGGAGTGAAATAACCGAACGGGGTGAAATTAACCACTTGAGCTCTGAAAAAATTTACCCCCCCTCCCCTTCATGACCAGAGACTAAGCAATTTTTTTTTCTATTCAGCATTGCGCTACCTTTAAAGCGGAGTTCCAGTCAGTTTTGTGTTTATTAAAAGTCAGCCGCTACAAAACCTGTAGCAGCTCACATTCAATAAATACACACTTACCTGTTCCAGGGTCCAACGATGTACTCACCCGTGACGTCCCTTCTCTG